CCTCCGCAAAGCCTCAGAATGGTTCTGTAGACTTTGGTGACAGGTGACGCCACTGTGGCGGGGCAAGCAATAGTGACGTCACCAGCCTGTACACGCACCCGTTCTGCCGGTGGGCTTTTTTCTCGTCAACCCCCCCCCCACCCATGGCTTGTTCGCTGTGAGATGCTTCTGCCTATAAGTCGCGCATCAAAACTCCTCGATTGTGGAACTAAATTATAATAACACGGAAATAAGGGGAAGGGGAGGAGTCCAAATTCCGAAAAACCACTTCATAATGGTGCAGAAATATGAAATTAATCTCATTTCCATTACATGTATTTAAGGTTCGCGCGAAATGCTGCTTTCCCATCACTACTGGCGCTGAATGAGGAGCTTCAGGGGACAATGGGCAACATGGAAGGACCGTCGTTCCTTGATCTGGAAATCATTAACAGACATTACCAATGTACAGGTGAGTGTGGTAAAAATAAAACTAGGTATAGTTTATGTCTTTGAATTTTTAGCGCTGTGCATAGTCAATTTATGGCCGCCGAAACTTGCCTGACGGAGGTTACGCGGAACATGAATTTTACTAGTGTTCAAGTAGTGTTCTCACATATGTTTCGTCTACTTCATTAGTCTCCTAACCCTTCATCAAGAAACCTTTTGCAGGATCCTTCTGGTTTTGGTGGGAATCTCTGTGAGCTCGTTGCCTCATCGGCTCCGCTGAATTGCGGTAGACTGATTGCGGCCACTTCAAAGCTGACAAGGCTCAGAGTACGCATGACCATTGGTCTCATCAGACGACAATGTGTATACCATATTCGAGTACGCAACACAACTCCACCCTCTTTGTTTTTTTACGAAATTACTCTAATTATCGTTGCCGTTCTACGAGACAACCAGGCTTAAGATCGTAGAAGTGCTGCTAACCATTCCCGACCCGAAAGTGTGAATCAAAGCGAAGAGACTACTTACATGTACAAATGTACAGTTTACACAATAGCCACGCCCAACGTTGCGGACGTTCTAGTGTCTGCGTCTTGTATGTCCTCTACGCTCTCTAATTTGCGATTCCATATTCGCGTCTCGTGAGCAAGCGCTTCCTCTTCGTGGGCTCGTCGCCGTTCAAATCGTCCTTCAAGTTCAGTGTTTTGGCAGTTTCGCCTACTTCTTTTCTTCCTGGTATCCATTGTGATTTTACACTTAAAGGAATCCTCCACGGAAGAAGCTCCGCCCGTTACCACAGAAAACGATACCTTAAAGGAATCTTCCACGGAAAGAGTGATCATTTTGTCTTGTGTGTAGGATTAGTATTATCGAAACTAACGCTTATGTTCCGTTCTTTTTGCTATGCTCATGAGGCTAGGGCCTAAGGGGTATCGTTTTTCTAGGGTAATAGAGGCGGAGCTTTTTCCGCGGAAATTCCTTTAGCGCAATGATCACACCTACATAGCAAGCGTATGCATAAAAGAAACGAGCGGAAGTAGGGGAAAAAGGGCTCAACAGGAAGTCAAGGGTCCCCACGCGAATAGTTTATTGGAGCGAAGTACCAGCCAGGGTCAAGCGTAGAGTACGACCCCACAAACCCGACCACCACCCTCACTATCATGGCTACCAGCCGACACAGCTAGCTCCGCCCACCTTCTCCTCCAGAACGGCCATCGAGGTGAAGAGGGGAATAATTCACGCTATTTTCGTAAAACGATCACCAAAAAACGTGTCTGAAATCCCATTCACGATTTCCGTTGGCACTTTTTCCCAGGGAGTATACCTTGCTCCTCCAAATATGCGATCTCCTTGTCCGAATAGTGCGAACGGACGACCCCTTCTGCCAGCTCAAGGAAGATAGATAGGGTCCGCTTCCACACATGATGCACCTGATTTCCACCCACGAAATTAAAGGATGAGAATGTCTAATTGTAAGGATGCACACGAGGCTCCCTTTAGCGCCGAGGACACCGCTAAGGAATCGACGTTCTAGCAGTGCTTGCTCCCTGTATCCATGCTCCTTCATCCCTCACTCTTTTCTCTCTCCCTGACCCCTTACCTCTTATCTCGCTATCCGCCCTTTATAAACCTCCACGGCCAAGGATTACCCATTTCTTACTTCTAAGTCCGTTTTAGAGTGAAACAGCATGAGCATTTCGATGACGGGGGTGTGCCTTTGAATGGTCCCCCCCCCGCTCCTTTCGCCTTCAACAGCTTGAGTACTTGAAAAGTAGAATTGCTGATGTTTCATTCAGTAAAGTTTTATCTTTTCAACATTTGGAATCTCTTCATTATACATCTCTTTCAGGCACCACCAAATCGTAGGATCATGATCGGAATCCAGCAGGTAGAAGGGAAATGTCAGGAAGGTTGCTACACACGTGCTGTGGAAGTGAAGATGAACGGTGACTTTCGGCCGGTCGGGTACAGGTACTGTTAGGTTCCTGAGCCTACAGGCAATTGTACCAATTCTTTCTCGGTTCCCTCAGGTATTGTTGCCAATCGCAATCATTTCGTCGGCTGATCTCAAGAGGAAGAAATGTGGTTATCATTTTCTTTGCACAGAACGGAACCCTTGATGCCACTCTGTACTTCAGATGGGGCAAGTCTTAGTCTATGGTTTTGCCTTTGCATTCCATAGCAGGGATCATTTTTTTAGTTGTTCTGACGCCCGATGCCGAAGATTCGAGCTCACTGAACGCAACGCAGCTGATGGAAGTTTACGATCCATCTGAACCTTACGGTGAGAATTACCTGTGAACTTTTTTTTAGATTCATCTGAAGTCACTACCCATGTTACAGGCACGGATATGGAGGTATTGCAGTTACCGGAAGGCAATGCAACTGGAACTCCTGGAGGTGCTTTGGAAGACAACGTCTTTGAAGGAGAGATGAGTGATAACCGTTTCGAAGACGAAAGGGTACTGCTTCTTCGATAACTATTCTGAAATTCGTAGAACATTTACTAAAAGGCTTTAGGAGAAAACTGAAGAAGAGGTAGAAGAAGAAAAAGAGGAAGCAGAACAGAAGGAAGAGCAAGAAAAAGAGCAGGAAGAACAGGAATACGAACAAGGAAAAGAGCAGGAGGAACAGGAAGAAGAACAAGAAAATGATGAACGCAATTCGCTAGATTACGGTGGCAAAGAAGAGAGCTACGATGACCATTTTGTGTATTTATGAGCTTCCTCGTTCGAAAAGTCTGATTCTTCTTTATTCTTAGATAAAGTCAACTATAAATGTTGTTTTGGTTTCTATTTGCTTGAGAGAATATAGCAAAACTACCAGCTTAGAGCAAGTTCACAGAAGGAACAACTAGAGGTTGAGTGAGCATTTGAGTTATGATGGTACGAGCCCTCCACAAGCGCTTCTGCGATCGACTCTGCAGTTTGATTTGACATTATTTCTAGTGTCGACGAATGTCATAAACATGAGAAATTATGAAAATTGATGGCGTAGCTTCAGCGCCACCGTATTTAAGGTGTGTCGGAGATCAGTGCAGCCCAGTCCCGGAGCAATTCAAGATTCTTCTTCGCGTCCTGCCTGGTCGGCGGCAGTTTTGAATGGCAGGTTCTGCAAATTGCGCTTATTTTATTATCTTCGTCGAAGACTGCTAAAAAAATGTTATCAAGTTTAAAGATAAAGAATTCGATCGGCCCCTCTCAGGCAGGGTGATTACTGGTTGAGGACTTCGTCTCAGCTCTGCTTCACCTGCTACCAGGAAGGTCTTTCAGGGCGTGACAAGCTTTTTGAAAACGGTCTTTTGCATGATATAGGGGCAGATGCGGGAACCACAGAACCATGTTCAATTTTTCCTGAACGGCCCTCTGAATACCAGAAAAGGAGGTCCCTAGTTCGATTCCTCGTGGTGACAAATTTTTGCATTTCGAGTTGACGTGCCAAAATTCGCGCAAAATGGAGTTAGCATGAATAATTAGTACCATATTCATGATTAGGACCGTCAGTAACCCTTACAAATAGACTTTGATTAAAAAACTGGTGAAAAAGGTGTGACACCACAGTGGGGCTGCTTGATGTCACACCTCTCACACCAATTTTTAAGTCAAAGTCTTTTTGTAGGAGTTACTGACGGCCCTAATCATGAATATGGTACTAATTATTCATGCTAACTCCATTTTGCGCGAATTTTGGAACGTCAACTCGAAATGCAAAAATTTGTCACCACGAGGAATCGAACTAGGGACCCCCTTTTCTGGTATTCAGAGGGCCGTTCAGGAAAAATTAAACATGGTTCTGTGGTTCCCGCATCTGCCCCTATATCATGCAAAAGACCGTTTTCAAAAAGCTCGTCACGCCCTGAAAGACCTTCCTGGTAAGTAATATTTTTATTGAGACCCCCTAACTTTGATTTGATGTCAATAAAAGAGTACCGCCATATTTACTTAAAGTGTGCTTTTGTAGCGCAATTTATCCCTGGGTCTGAATATCTTAGCCTTCCAAACCTTGGTACTCTACACTCTCTTTGCAAGCTACCATTCTTCATTTCATAACCTTTTGAACAGTTGTGGGATCAAGATAGAGCTGTACGCCTTTGTACTCAAGCAGTATCCTTTTGCAAACTCTCCCCGGAAGACATAGAAAAGGGCTTTCTATGGTTCAAGTTTGAGCGTCGTGGAAGAGGAGAGCTTTCCTCCTATTGTACAGGATGTGACAAGAGTGTTGACCGCTTAGCAAACACCACTTTATAAAGATGGAGAAAGATAGCAGCACCAGTTCTAGCAGGGCGAATATCGGCTACGGTGGATTCGTCAACGGCTTCTCGAGCATTTCGCTGGATCCTTTGACACCTCCCGCCGTTTACAATTCACACTCGTCATGCGCTGGCCCGTCCTGTGCTTGCTCCGCCGCAAAACGCTTCTTTCGCTTTACTCCGACACATACAGAGCCATGGTCGATGGAGTTCTTGACCTGTTATTCACGCCGGAATTGTACCCCTTATGTGAGATATCGCTTATATCAAACGTAGTACCTCCAACATTGTGGTACGGTTTTATCGGTCTGATCCCGAATACGCTTGTCAGAAACATGACGGAGAGCATCTAGCCTCAACACCGCACATATTTTGCACACAAATCGTTCTGTGCCTTCCTTTTTGGGCCGCCCCTAGGAGAATTAATTCAGCTGTGCAAAAATTGTAGTGCGCTTGGTCTCCAAACAGTCAAATGTTAATGGTGACAAGGTTAGATCAAGAGAATCAATCACTCGAGTGTGGTTTCAGAACGATGACATGGAGAGCCAAGTTCCCACCTCTTATCGCAGAAGATACATTTCTCCAAAGGCTGTCCTAAAGAAGCCACAGAGCAACTTGGATAAGGAATTACGATGCTATCATAATATACGGGGGCATCCTCTAGGACTAAGCCTAGGAGGGGCGGCAACTTCCGAAGAAAATAGAAGTGGCCCACGCACCCACGATTCTCTCCTCTCCTGTCCAAGGCTTACGTAGCTCCGTTTTCACGAAAAGGGCATGTTTCACGCAATTTTGAATGGATTACTACCACAATGCCCCCATATATTGCGATAGTGCCTGAATTTCCTGCTTGTGGAAACACATGCTCTCCCCTCACTTTCTTCGTTAGTGTGTTCGGGTCAAAGGCAACCGTATCAAATTTTAAGAGCTACTACGGTTTCATTTTATTATGGCCACCTTCACATCGAGTTGAATTGGTGCTGCCATCTTTCTTCTACTTGGTATAGCGGTGCTTTGACAATACTCTAGCCGCACCCTGTACAATGGGGGAATCTTTCCTCTCCTGTGGCGCTCAAAATGAAGCCAAAATGCTCTCTTCTATTTACCTAGCTACAGTGTGATACCTTAAGCACGTGCTTTAGACTTCACTCTGCATAAAGATGACCCACAATTTTATAATAGTGTAGCGTTTTAAGCGCACAGGAAACTTTAGGAACACTTTATCTAAACGAACAAGGCTGTATCAATTTTCCCCCTTTGATCAGAACCAATCCGGAGCTAATCCTCCATTGCGGTACTAGGGTACTAAGCGCACCTAGGGCGTAGGAGAGAGATATCAAAAGATCGAAATGTTCTCGGATCCATAATCTGGACCAGATCCTTTGTCACAAGTGCGTGATATCGCCGCGGCAATCGCTGTGTACCCTGGAAGCCAGTGACGTGTGTTCGTACCGATGTTCGCTCATGGCATCGCGCTACATCTACTAATCACTGTCGTTACGGCTTCTTACCCTACGGTTAGTTCCAAAATATTAACACGCATATTTTTAACGTAGCTCCTCTTTAGCTGAGGGATCTGGTGAATCCCCAAGAGCAGTACGCATTGCGAGATACACTCTCCACCTTGGTTGAGTTCGAGTACAAAGACAACGTCATCGGATCGGTAGGTTGAACTGACCTGAGTTGTCTTTATAGTAAATCCTTCTGCGGAAAGATGAAGAGGTTGTTTACAGGACGATGTTGGTGTCATTCCCGTGCCAACTCACCGGGCTCCCACCATTGCTCAACTTAACAGGAACTATTCGTGAGTTTGAGGAGATTTTATTTCTCAGTCGCCCCTCTAACAAGGGAGGTCTTTCAGTTCAAGGTGCGCTCTTTGGAAACGGTTCAGTACATTTTGAAAGGACGCATGTATGAACCACAGAACCTATGCTTCGTTTTCGCTGAACGGTTTTAGTAGTACCGAAAAGTGGTGAATAATACTCTTGATGGTTCAATATCAGTGGCGACCAAATTTTGCAATCAAGGTTGGCGGTCACTTGTTGGCTTCAAAATGGTCCTGACGATGAATTTGACATCTGATTTTGATATTTAGCGCGATTTGGCACCAAACCGTAGGCGCCAACCCAAATGCAAAATTTTAGTCGCCACGGGGGATCGAACCCTTAACAGTACCTTATGCTTCTTTTTTGGTACTGCTATAACCGTTCAGCGAAAATAGAACGCATGGTTTTGCGTTCCCTACATGCGTCCCGACTAATATGCACAAAACCGTTTCTGAAAAAGCGCACCTTGCCCTGAAAGACATCCCTTGTAAGTGGAGCAAACACTCGGTAGACAAGGGTGTTTAGTGGACTAAAGGCAGTAGGGATTCTCAGTGTTACAGTGTCCACGCGAAGCAATATGGCTTCCCTGGGTGTAGAAGAACGGAGCGATAGCACTGGAGAGTTTAATAGTAGGCGCTTTTTACTGGGTAGTTGGCACTATTAGAACAGGTGCAGATTCTCACTCTCGTAAAGTTCGAGGTACCTACTACGGGATGCAGTGTTCACATCCAAGGCTCCGTGGAACTTGGCTACACAAGAACCAATCTAAAGTGTGGGAGGGGCTAATAAAGTCGGTATCTAGGCGAGACTGCACACTGGGAAAATAAGAGCATTGATTGACGCTCCAGAGGTGTTGGGCGATACATGCTTTAGAGCTTGGATGTGGCCCAACAATGAGAAAGGCAAATATTCTAGGGGAAAGAGCGTGAAACTCGGCTGGATTCATTTCGTGTATATCTCTACATTTGTTAACTGTGTAACATTTTATGTTATGACTACATAGAACTGAGTCTGCGATTCACATCCTGCAGGCCCTTTAAAGGAAACCGGGGAAATTCGAGCAGGGAGGACATTCATAACATATATCACCTATTATTTACTACTCACTTTACGTTGTTTTAGTTAACCATCCTGTTCATCCGACACCTTATTGCGTGGAAACTCGTGTCTCGTTCACACCTCTCCGGTAGCACGTGTATGCGTGTGGCACGACTCTTAGCAATCGTCTCTTTCGGTTCGCGGTGGGACCTCAAAACCACCTTTGAGAAGCAATGCTGAATGTCTGCAGAATCTTATTCAACTTTTCAACCCTCACCTCAACTGGTTAAATAACAAAGATATTACAAACAGCTGCGTGAATCAATATGCAAAGGCAGCGATTACGGTAGGTTCTAGAAGGAGTTACAGGGGACACGGAGCGCTCAATGATACCGCCAATGGCTCAAGGGTGTGTGGGAAACGAAACAGAGAAATCCTGTCAGCGAAAGCAGAAAAGGCCCTCTCTGTTGGCGCATGGATCTCGCTGAAGGGACTGTTAGCGGCTAAGACGGCGGTGTACGACGATGTTTGCGACAACTCGCCTTTTGCAGCACTCATGTTCTCGGTACGTGTGCGTCGTAGTTGAGTTGACATCGTCGCTTGCTGACAGCGCATCTTAGTCCGAATCATTAACCAAACCTCAGTAGGAGGATCGCTTTCAGAGGCGCGAGTGTTTCGAAGTCTGCCACTGCACCAGCGCTACATTTGCTTCGACGAGTTGAAGCGCCACACCCTATTTCCTTGCCACTTAAGTAACTGCTCTCTTTGTCGCAGTCGCTTTCTTTAGCCATGGCAGACGGCGCCCTTACCACGCCCACATCCTGGAGAATTCCCAAATGTTAAAGAGTTAAAGATTTCATAATCGAGGACCGTTACGTTGGTACTAGGGTTGTCCGGGAAGTAATGCAACTTCTGACATAGGACACTTTCACTAGCTTCGTTGACAGAAAGTTCTCCTTCAAATGATGCACTGTCATGTATTATTGGAGGGCCTATTTGTGTCCTTTCATAAATAGCCATTGAACTTTGACATAGATAGCGCTTTTCATAGTGTGGAGTAGAAGTTTCCAAAACAGTGCGCGAGAAAATTCACTTCGATGAGTTCAATGTTTGACGCAGTGTTACCAAGACAGCTTGTAACATCGCTTTCGTTTGACGATAGAAAGAACCTACAAAAGCACTGTGCTATCATGGCCTCAGAAATTTCGTGGTGTGGGAATGGATTTCGTAGGCAATAATAGGAAAAGCTGGATTAGGATGAAATGGTGCCCGGTAGCGTAACTGGTAGCGCACTTGCCCGGAAAGCGAGAGGTGCGGGTTCTAGTCCCGCCTGGGGCGAAAGTTTTGTTCACAACCCAGCATTCTTATATAATGAAGGTAGCCTTCTTTGGCCATCGACATTGAAATGATTAAAATTTTCCAGAGATATCCTGTTCCAAGGGGATATTCGTATGCCGACGTCATTACTTGCTCACATGGTGAGTAGCGCAAACACTCGTCGGAAACGAACAGCTTTCCGAAATCGCCAATATCCGGGTACTATTTGGAAGACAGGCGTTCCCTTTGCTTTCCACAAGAGCTTAAGTATGTTTGTGAAAATTTATATGACCACAGGCTTGCCAGATTTATTGTCGAAATTGCAGGACCAGCCGGGCGACGCTCGGTTCTAGCTGCAATTCAATTCTTCAGGCATCACACATGCATTCAATTCAGAAGACGTAAAAGGGAGCCGGTGAACTTCACATTCCTTTTCTTCCTTATTTCCTTGCTTCCCTTTGGTTCTTTCATTCATTCTTCATTTTTTTGTATCAAAGGAAGATCGCTAAGCTTTAAGGTTTATCTGCTATTCACCGGGCATGATGAAGGCTGTTGGAGTACAGTGGGGAGAGCCTGCGTGGCAACGGCAGCAGATCGTCTCTATTGGACCCGGCTGTGAACCTGTGAGTCGAGGCGGGGCAGTAGTACTGTGGAACTAGATATACTTTGGCTGCCTTCAGTGCACGCTACCCACTTATCGTTGTATCATTGTGGAATAACTTTATTTCAGTTCGGCATCTCGTCCCACGAAGTTGCGCACGCACTGGGTATGTTCCATGAGCAATCGAGATTCGATAGGGACAACTGGGTTAATGTATACCCTAATCGGGTTCCACGGTCTTTACTCTACAACTTTGCTAAGGTCAGCTTCTACTCTTGACTAGTGATTCACCTTTTCAATTTGACAAGTTTTCAGTCTAGAGGCTTATTATGGAGCGTTCAGAGTTGGCGATCGCAAGTGCGATTAGGCGAGTAGGCGATTTGGCGATTAGTCTATAATGAAAACGTACGTATATATTGGGCGATTAGGAGCATAGGCGAGTAGGCGATTATGCGGGGAGCACCACACATGTACGTACTGATTGGTTTGCACCGCCCAAAGAACGTTGTTGGCGAGTGGGCGATTAGGCGCATAGGCGATCGCTCGATGGGCGAAGCATCAAATCAATACACATCTTTTTCTTATCGCCTACTC